TATCGACTTTAAATAGCATTTTTTCAGTTCTCAAAAATAATTGCTCAACATTTAGTATTTTTTTTTTTATTGAAACCTCCTTTTTGATTATTTATCTTCCAAAATTTTGCCACCCCCTAAAATTTCCCGCCCTAGGCGAACGCCTAGTCCGCCTATACAGCGCCTAGTGAGAAATACGGCCCTGGTTCAATCTGAATAATTACAGTGGCGAGATATTCGTTCAGTATTTCAAATAGAAACCACTTAAAATTTAGTATGTCAAATACTCTAAAATATTGTTTAAAGTAATTTTATATAAAACAAAATCATAAAATGTATGATAGGCTACATGATACAGCATCTGTCATCTATGCTTAATAAGCCTTTGCGGTTTCAGGCAGACTGCATGTTTTAGAATTGAATAGATAGTTTTTTTTAGTTCTCAATCATTTTTAACACAAAAAATAATACATAAGTATTAACCAAATCAAGAAAAACATAGCTAAAAGCCTTAAAATTAATGTAATGTCGTAATAGGTCTGTGATAAAAATAGATACACTATTACACAACGTTATTATACTATATAAATTAAATTATAGGTTGGATAAAATTATTGCATGTCTACAAACGAAGTATTAAAAATCTCACTTACGATGGAATGTGACTAAGTGCAGCACAAAATACAGTAGGCCCACTTGGTTTTGTTCACTAACACACTGATGTTTTATTCAATGCAATATATTAAAACGTCACTGGATAGATGTTGTGGAGAATGTGAGAGCTGTTTTAGAAGGTGCAGAGCTACAATATTTGAAGCTGTGATCCAAGGTTCCTTAAACATTTTAAGGATTGGTACCATCGCTTTCATAACGGTTCATCGGTGTCATTTCTATCTCGTTCTCAACACGACTTCTTCGTTGAAAGCTTTCATTCAAATTTTTTAACCACCATTGAAAAACTGCTGGGTCCAAGTTGTATTTTAAATAAACCAAGTAAACCCATTGAGGATATGAGAGATGTTTCAACAGTAACATAAAAAGCATTTTGCTTTCTTTCGAAGTGGTTCTCGGAGACAGCTTCCACCAAATTGAGTTGAAAGATTCAATTTTGTATAAAAAACGAGAAATGATCCTGTGTAAGAGGGCTACCCCGGAGATGATCATTAAGAGTACCAAGCACAGCCAAGCCAACGGAAATATGAACTTGTTCATCAAGTTTCTCGGGAGGAGACACAAAAGGTCGTGAAGTTGTTGCGATCCTGATGGACCAAAGTTATGGAAATGACACTTAGCCATCAACGGGAAAATCTTCTTCAACTCTATATCCCCATTCCACCAGTTGTATCCCAGTTTCTCAAATTTACCCTCCATGATGAAATCCAGCATTTTGAACATTGCATATGGAATACAAAAGTTTAATATTTCACACAATATAAAACTGCAAGCCCACGGACAAGCTTCTACCTTTAATCGTTGCAGAGACAACAATTTGTTCACATTGTGTCTTACAGATCGATTAATTTCCGTCTGTCCCTTCTCTTTCATTAATTCCTCGACCCATTTCACACTTTTTATAGTCTCGTCCAGAAACTGTCCATACAAGAAGTTGTAAACAATCTGACCAGTGAAGCTAAAAAGGAAAACCCCCAGCATAATGAAACTGACCCATACATAGTAAGTGTGAAGATTCTTTTCTCCGTCCTCTTCATTCTGGACTCCCCTGTGCCGGTAGAACTCTGACTCTGATGTTAGAAAAGTGAACTTTCCTTGGATGTAGCAAAAGTTTTCCACTGCCTTTACGGACCTTTCAGTCATATCTGAGATGCAGAGTATCGGCGGGTCCATGCCATCGGTGGCGAAAGGTACAGTACTTAACAATAGAAACACATATGGTAGTTTAACATAGATAGCGTGAAACAAACCAAAATAAACATTTGGAACAAACGAATTATACAACGAGAGTAGCTGGCTAGCTACTGTGGTGATCATGTTGCTTGAGAACAAACTCGCGACTGACTGCGACCACTGAATAGCTGACACTGAATGAGTCACACAGTCGCGAGTGAAATAGCAGTGCTGAGCTAGCAAGTCTGCACCTGCACCTGCCTTTCCTGGTATAGCTGCTAAGCAAAAACTGTTCACGTGTTGTTTGAACATCTACAAATTAATACAACTTTCTTTATTAACAGGACACTATTATGTTATTCATTGAGAGAACATTTGTGGGAATACATTTTTTAACAAATCACTTTCTTGAATAAAAGATGAGGTCATGTATTAAATCATCTAGTATAAAATAGTATTATTTATTTTAATTATAAAAATAATGCTATAGTACATTATGTTATAGTACATTATATGAAGTCAATATATGACATGTATATATAACTATAATACCAGAATATATAACATATCATGAAAAACCCACCATGAGAAATACAAAATACCCTTGAGTAAACAGGGTCTTCAAAAATAATTTCCTGATACAAAAAATATATTCTAGTAAATTTTGTCGATTCTTCAAAGTCATAAATAAAAAATAACGAATAAATGATAAATAAAAAATAATCATTAAGTATAGCCTAAACATTAAGATTGTTGTAAGTATTGTAACAACTATATCAAGCAATTCAGTTAACTGTAACTAAAATCAAAATGTAAGCTGAGAGAAAAAGAATGGTTTAGAAGTTATAACAAGTTGACCAGCACCTAAAGAATCAAAAGAATAGATGTAGACTGTTTAGGTTTATAACCTATATTCAAAACAGGTTTTCACTGAAACACCCCTTTTCCAACCCTTGTACTTACTGGTTTTCACAAATGAGGTTTGATTTGAAATCAATTATTACAAATGTTTTCTCCTCGGCACCCACACGCTTAAGCCTACCGGACCTATTAGGAAATCGGGTCCTGAGGAGAAATGCACAACAGTGTATCAATTGGGCTTAGACAGGTAAAATTATCAATACTTTTATTTTTTAACTCCAATGTAAATAAATACTTTTTGGAAGCTATTTTTAGTATTTTTTTAAATTCAGAGTCACCATTTTATTTTTGTGTTTAATTCTATTTGTTTAATACTCTGCATATTATTTTGATCATAAGTATGCTTTATATTGACAATCAAGTATTTAATTTTGAATTAGCAAAATTAACCCTTTGAGTGCCAACGTCCGGGGAACCGGACGTTTTTAAAACGAGCCAAAAGTGCCGACGTCCGGCCGACCGGACGTTTTAGAACGAGCCAAAAGTGCCAACGTCCGGCTGACCGGACGTTTCGTAATGATCGAACAGTTGTCATTACAACCGAATGGATACTCGGATTCTTTTAACCCATATATTACCATTGAGTCGAAAGTTACTAGATGCGATACATCGATTTTCGTTGGTCGAAATATCGAAAATTCGATTTTTACGAAATTTTAATCTAAAAATCGCCAGATCGCGCTCGGCATTTTTAGCGCGACCTTCGGGAAAAATCATCGGCATTTTTTGAGCGTTACTTTTATTTCTCGCCTGGCATTCTAAGGGTTAAACCAAGCACATACTACTGGAAAATATTCCAACTGTCGCAAAATTTTAATCCAAACAGAGTTTTTCAGTGTAGAAGTGAGATAAAATTAATAGACAAAAAATAAGACGGTATAAATTTGGAACAATAGAGTATCCAAATCAGTTTTATTTAGTAAAGTAAAATATTAAATTAACTGCCAATATCACATTTTTGAGCAACCAACTTTGGATAAACATTTGTTTTGTCAACATGCAGATTAGACATGACACAGAGCGATGAAGTTGTTGTGTATGTTGAATTTAATATTAGTTGAATTTGTAGCAATACATATTAGTTTTGCTGAAGTCTTTACAATTATTTCTTAAATATAACATAAGTAATCACCGTAATCATACTGCTGATTTGATATTTAATTTTAGCCCATCTTAATCCTTGGATTTTTATCAGTCCAAGCAATTTTAATAGTCTAAAAACTGGTCAAAATATTGATAATACCTTTTCAAAAAGATTTATTGATTTTATGACAGTCGAGATTATAAAAACCAACACAGTTTTTTTTTATGAATAACTTAAGAACGTATTGGGTAATAAACTAATATCATTGTGCCGTTTTTATGGAACAGGAAAAAGCCACTTTTTATAGAAATACTTTGTTAAGTAACAAAGAAGAATGGACACTTGAAGTTTGTTTAGTAGAGTGTGTGTTTGCTACGTAGGAATTGGAATATAATTTTGCCAACTCAAACCAAAATAAATTATTATAAAATTAACCCAAAAATATAAATTTACGATTCATTATTCCGCCTTGAAATAGAGTAAAATTGCATAAGAAATAAAACAATATTATGATTATTATGATTATGATTATGATTAATATAAAATGTATTTTAATGACTTCAAATGGCCTTATATTGCTCTTGTATCGTCTTCCGTGATAGTGATTCTTTACTGCCCAAGATAGTACCTGCAATTGTGTTAATCAAACTACACAAGAGAACCAACAGAATGCTGACACTTTGATGGTCCCTCTGTCATAGACTTTTGGTAATTATTCTAAGTTTACAGTTTCTTCCATGGACTGCTAAAAAACTGGACGGCCTGCACTTGTACAGCGCAAATTGTGCCTTGAAAATTGAAATGTGAAATGTTTATAAACTCTACCATCTCCAAATTTATAATTATTTTTACACTCAACCAAGGGTCCTCCGCTACCAAAATTGCAGGAGCCTTTCCTTACTGACTACGAACTACCAAATCTATCATGAAGATGACGATATAAAGTGTAAACCACTCAATCAATTTTAAGACGAAGACGCCACTAGGTGTGTATTTTAACCCCCATTTAAGGAGTGTAGAATGAGTGCGTAGTCTTGTAGTCTTGTTAGTGACTATGGCCGACATGTTCCTTAGACACAGATGTTAATTGCCTATACATTAATGGCAACTAAGGGACCTACAGTTTATAGTGGAATCCATATATTAAACTATAAAGTGTAAATGCACTGACCTCTACTAATGACACAATTGTACTGTGTGCTGGGTAGGGCATTCCACAAGAACAGCATCTCGTACGCCAACAGACGACAGTAGGCGGGCGACACTGGTGAAGACGGAGAGGCTAGCATGGACGCACGACGACCAATGAAGTCCTCCAGTTGTGTCCGGGACGTCGTACTTTCATCCAGAAATTCTACGATTTCACCTGCCAGTGACGAAGATTCCTGAGGTTGTTCGTTAGCTCCTGCACACACTGTTGGAAAACACCAATTTGTTTAAAATTTGATCTTATATTGTAATTGTAAATGTTTGTTACTATTGACCACAGTAATTATTTGAACAGAGTGCTAGGGATTAATTCTTGGGTCTGGTAGTTATAGCACAGGACTTATGTCCTGAAGTCGCAGGCTCTAATCCCACCAATTGCCGATTACCGCTACAAAACAATATGGTTGGACCACCAATGGTTAACAATGGGGTAACCAATGGTTGGAATTCAATCGTATATTCAAGGAATTATGGATCTCAAGATGGATCTCTTTGACACCAATAACTTTCCCTGTATCGTAGAATTTTCTTTACTAAAGGCATAGAAAAATTTGATTTGTTTTACTCTCCGATAACAAATACCCCCGCCGCAGCAAACCTGCAGACCAAGCCAATTTCCATTTACCTGATCTGATTTTCATCAAATTTGTCCTTACAATTGTTAGATTTATTTCATATTTAAATAACATTCGCTTTAATACATAGGCCTACTTATGCTTTGCTGCTGGGGGGATGGTAATTTTTTAGTAAAATGCCAATAGCTCGGTATAAAAGGAAATAATGTGCCAAATTAGATGAAAATATACCCATAAATGAGCTAACTACAACAAATTACTTATGCTACACAAGAATAACATAACAATTTTAAATTTACAGTTGTTTTAAGTTTCATCCTTATTTATTTAACCTAAAAAGCTTCAATTTACTGAATCATTTGAATTTGAAAGTTCTACAAATTCAAAGATCCAAAGAAGGCTTGGAAACAAATTACAAAGTTTTATATTTTGAGGGTCAAAAATGGGTAAAATCCCTTTTCCCAAAGTCTGATCATGTTGGATCGCAAACTCATTTGAATAAATGTGGGTTTACTTGTTTGTACCAAATTTAATCAAAATCTGATTATTTTTACTTAAAAAATCCCACTAACTGACACAAATAAATATACATTTGAACACATGGCGTTTTTGGCTTCTGGGTACCTCAAAAAGAAAAGGAAAATTAATCTCAGGCTAGGTCTTACCATGAGGCTTAAGGTATTAGCTTATTAAGTTACCTATTATGGGAAATTCGCTCAAATCTACCAATTTTAAACTAATGGTAAAATAGAAAATTTTTGAGAAAATCACAGCTTTCCCTCATGGCTAGGCCAAATTTTTTATCTACCTAATAAAGAAGAAAACTAAATCACACCAAACCATACATCATAGGTACTAGGTAGACCAAAACCATTCATCATAGGTAGTACAGGTAAAATAGGGGTTTATAAACAACAAAATTTGTACATTTGTGAAATTTCACCTGTGAGTTACTAATAATATGAGAAATGAAGATCCGATGAGTCCCCAAAATTTTGGGCGTCCTAAGGCTCTTCTTGGAGCCCTTTTTGTTCCGAAGGGCCCTTGTTCCTGAATAATTTTGTTTTTACGTTTAAGGTCGTGTGAGGTATGGTTTTCGATGGTTTTAGTTATTTTAAATCGATTGGGAGTAGTTTTAAGTGTATTAAACCACACCATACAGGGTGTTTCGAAATATTCAGGGCCGGATTTATCATTTTTGCGCCCCTAGGCCCAAAACAATTTTCCGCCCCTAGTCTGGTCACAGTTACTTTCCTTCAAACCTTTATTAAAAACTATATCACGCCCATAGGCTTAAGTTAATTTCTTGAATACCACTCTTCGTCGGAATCGTTGCATTGCAAGTTTTTTTAAGAATTGACTTGTTTAGCATTAACAAAATGTCGTCTTGAAACACTTTTAGCAAATTTATGCCTTTACTAAATGCTCACGTTTGTGGCCGTGGGACTGAAACCAAACAACTCAACTCATCGAGCATTCATGCAAAAAAACATGGCCTTTTGATTCCAATTAAGGTTTTAAAACATGAACTCCATACAGTACGTGATACCATAGATTAAACATACTCCTTTAGTAGGTTTGTCATCGTTTTGGATTAGCCTAGCTGAAAGCAATTCTTTTTATTTAAGGAGTATGTTTTATCTATGTTTAAACCTAGTTTATCCAAAATAAAACAATCTAATCATTAAAAATAGGTCGTCTCCTGTTTATATTACAAGAAATTAAAACCCACATCATAGAACTAACCCTAAAATAATAGAAACAAAATTACGTATAACTAACGTCAAGTGTCACCAACATAAACTAGACATTGACAAATTTTGAATAAACAATGTCATAAGAAGTCGACTTGAGTGAGTTATATTTAATCTATGGTTGTGACTGCATCTAGGCTTTGACTATTCAATGATCTAGGTTATATTTCCAAAGCAAAACAGAGCAATATTCCGTCCAACCATACCGATCCTTAGGTCTGAGGAGAAAATTACAGCATTAATGGTGCTTTGGAGGGTATTGAATTTTTCTAAAATCGAATGCAAACTGAAATCAATATTTTTTTTGTAAATTCATCGTTGTTTTGATATTCAACACAACGTATTATATATTTTTATTAGTTAATAAATTTTGTTTTGTGAAGTGAGGGTGGTAACAATGTCTACCATGCATGCGCCCCTAATCACTCTGATCAGATAGTACCGAGCCCGAGCCAGCATAGTGGCAGTGCAGTGGCAATACGATGCGTACTGCTAGCGCGCTCGTCAACGTCAACATCCCTACAGCCTACTCCCGTATAACCGGTGTTCGCTACCAATTTTGTAACGAAATTGATGCGTAGTTCTGAAAATAGTTTAAGTTTCCTAACAATTGTTTCTTCTTATGAACCTCAGAATCACAACGCTTAAACAGGCAGTTTTTTTTATCAACTAAGACAATTTATTTTCATTTTTAGATATAAAAAAAATCCTCTCGGGCGTGCGCCCTCTGGGACCTTGCGCCCATAGGCCCGGGCCTACCGGGCCTATTGGGAAATCCGGCCCTGGAAATATTATTACTTTTTATGATATTTAAACATTTATTCATAAAGTAATAAAATTAGTTACCTCCATGCTCTATATAAAAGGGGATTAATGAAAATGATTGTAATTCTTTACTACGTAAGGGGAAATGATTATAAGGAGTAAGAGAAAATATTAAATACCCCCGTCACAGAAAACCTGCAGACCTCGCGAATTTCCGTTTTACTTACTTGATTTTCAATTAAATCTAAAATAGCGTTGTGTTTAATGATTACCTAGGTTTGCTGCTACAAGGAGGCTAATAAAGTGTGTTTATGGTAAAATATTAATAGCCTAGTATAAAGCAAATAAATTTGACAAGTTTGATCAAAATATATCTATTAACAAACAAACAAAATCATTTTTCACTATTCTACATAAGAATAACATGGGAATTTTTAATTTACAATTTACACGTTAATATACTAAATTATTTTGTTTTTAAGCTAAAATATCTCCATGTGTTTTAAGTGAATTTGTGCCTATATTCAAAGAAATTGATATGCATTTAATTAATAAGTAATGAAGATTATTATTGAAAAAGTTCCTTAGTTGTATTATGATTAGAAAGTTTTTATTATAAACACACCGCATTAACAGTCCTTTGGAATTTTAATTTTAACAGAGCAGACATCAAAATGCATTATGCAGTTATGTAATAACTATTATTATAGGGGAATATACAAAAATGTGAAACGATAATTAGGGTAACCCGTAATAAAGTAATAAGTAGTGTAACCCATGAGACTAATAATTTGTACAAAATAATTACTAGAACAAGCCACTAGTTTAATGAATAGCCATAATGTTTCGTTCCTACAGAAACTGACAGCCAAAGAAGAATGTATTCGGTAAATCTTTGGGTTTTTATCCGACCATAATAATTTAATAACATGTATAAGGGTTATAGCGGTATTGAACTTTTATAGATAGATATGAGATGGGCATTAATTGCCATGTTTGGGAAAATTAGCATACCTAGTTCAGTTGCTGGTTTTAGAAACAATACTTTCGTGTTTTGATTGAGTTGCTGATAGGTTGTGCTAACAAAATGCAGTTTTCATTCTTTTACATTAACTTTACACTTCACTTTTCTTTTGAGATCACTTAAACCGAGAGGTCAACCCATTGTAACATGCAGCCTCTCTTAAGCCCCTACAGATTACAGGTAGGTAATTATTATTTCGACAATAGATGGTTATTTTGTCTAACTGGTGACAGCTGATCGATTTATATTGAATTTCACGGAAGTGTCCAAAGTAAATCTGAAACACAAGAACACAACACATAACACTGGAAGTCGGTTTGAAGTGATGCAGGATAGATAAATCAACAATTAATTGATGTGTTGAACAAATTATAACACTGTTTGTTGATTTAGAAATTGAATATTGAAACTTAAAGGACAATAGGCAAGATAAAATTATTCATAATGCTTATACAGCAATGTGTTCAATCCAACACAAGTCCAAGTATTAATAAAACCATTGATAAAACTAACTTAATATGCGTGTCCATAGAAACATATATTTTTTATTACAATACACTTAACCCAAAGTAAAGGAAGAACAAAAATTCATACATGAAAAATAAAATTGTCAACTGTAAGCGTAAGCAATCATCCAAAAGAAGGTATACAGAAGGGGCTGAGCAAACTTCACATACATGGACAAAGTTAGCTGAAATCAGAAACCTTGACTCAGAAACAGCCTCCTGCACAATCTGGTAACCTGCCACGGATGCGAAACACCAAGTCAGGCCTTGGGTAAGTTTGTATTTATTCAGCAGTATAATGTGTGTAAGTTTACCATTTAAATATGTTCGTGTTGTTGTAGTTTTATTTAATTTGGTGTAAAACTTTTAAATAATCGTTACATTAATTTATTGTAAAATTTAAAAGATTGAAAAATTGATTCTTTGCTAAATATGTTTGTACAAAATCTTTTTGCTCGTAATTTATGTTCATCAATTAATACCATGCATACTTCTAATTGTTTAAGGTGCTAAATTTAATATCGTTTAAAACATTGCAACAATATTTTTATGTTTAGACTACTATTGGACTGCTAAAGGAC